GGGCTACATGAAAAAGACCAAAAAAAAAAAAAAAAAATCCAACTGGGCAGGGGGCCCTTTAGTCCCAGCACTCAGGAGGCAGAGGCAGGCAGATCTCTGTGAGACCAAGTCTAGCCTGTTCTACAAAGCAAGTTCCAGGCCAGCTACAGGGAAACTGGGCTACAGGGAAATCCTGTCACAGAAAAAAATATAAATAAATAAATTCCAAAGAGCTAGCTAGCCCTTTGAGGCAGCATGAAGGGGCCAGCAGAGGAAGCAAAAAGAACCTAATCACATGTGGAAAGCACACTCATCTTTTTTAGAACCATGGGAAATAAATTTATAGTTTATAAATTACCTAGACTAAGGTGTTTTGCGAACTCAAAATCCAATTTAATTATAGCTTCAGTATTCCTCCTCATTCCCTCATATAGAGAAGCACTCCTAGATTCTGGGTGTTAGGACATGGGTCTCTTTGGGGGAGGGGTCACTTTTCAGTGTATCACAAATGGCATTAAATTGATATGGATATCCACATTCAAAACCATGATATTAAACTCCTATCTTATACCCTGTACAAAAACTAACTCTAAAGGTCAGATTCCAATCTATAAAACTCCCACAAGAAAACACAGAGAGAAAGCTACTTAACATTGAATCATAATTTCTTGACTTCAATACCAAATTCACAGGCAATAAAAGAAAAAAAAAAGGCGAATAGCTTAAAAACTTCTGTGTAAGCCTGGCGGAAGGCTGACACAGGAAGATCCTTAATTCAAGTCCTGCCTGGGCTGCAGAGTAAGTTCAAGGCCAGTCTATGCAACGTACTGAGACTGATTCAAAATAAAAATTCAAAAAGAACTAAAGGACTAGAGATATAGCTCAGTATGAGACCCTCAGTTCAATTCATGGTAATACACACACACACACACACACACACACACACACACACACACACACACAAAACCTTCTGTATAAAGGACACAATCAGCAAACAGAATCCATAGAATATACATGGAATGGGGAGAACCTGAATTCAGTAACATGGCTCAATTTAAAACTGGGCAAAGGCAACCAGCAAGATGGGTAAAGATGCTTGCAGAGTAAGCCTTGAAACATGAGTTTGATCCTCCAAACCTACAAAAAGATAGGAGAGAACCAACCAACAAAGTTATCCCGACTACCACACATGTGCCCACACACACACACATAATGCACATACATACACAAACACACATACACAGGCTAAAAATTTTTTTTAATAATTCTCCAAAGACAATAAACAAATAGCCAACAAGAATACAGAAAGAATTTCAACATCACAAATCATGTAAAAAATGCAAATCAGTGAGACTGCAGAAGGATAGAAAGACAGGGATAATTAAGTGGACAGGGGAAGAGAGAGTCCCTCACCCCCTGGAGTCTGGCTTGTATTTCTTACAGAGAATAAAGAATTCAACACAACTGACAAAAGACAAAACCACTGTAAAGCCTGCCTTACATAAAGACAATGATTCATTGCTAAAAGGTATCACCAAGAGTACTAAACAGCTGAGCTATGCTAAAGACCCAAATATGGCTTAAAGTAAACTCTTATGTCAGCACTCCTCTCTCATCCCTAAATCTGAGTAGTGCATCTCATAAACCTTACCATTAACAAAAACAAATCTTTAAGAGAAATAAATAGGGGTTGGAGAGATAGTTCAGCAGTTAAGAGCACTAATTGCTCTTACAGAGGACCCAGATTGGATTCCTAGGACCCATATGGTGGTGAGCAACCATCCCTAACTCCAGCTCCAGGGGATCCAATCCAGTTCCAGGGGATCCAATGCCTTCTTCTGACCTCCACAGGCATTGCATGCCATGGGTGCACTTACATACAGGCAATACATTCATACACATAAAATAAAAATAATAAATAAAGTAAAGTTAGAGAAATAAGTAAACCCACTCATTTTTTAAACAGTTAAATTTTTATTTAATTCTTAAACTTTGCTTAATCTTTGGACATAGTTGTAAATTACTTCTTTGAGCAATATAAGCCTGCAGATTGCTGAGAATCTCACAAACAAGACTGTTAAATCTGCTTACAGTAAGAATATCTCTTGACTCCCTTGTACAACCCTTGGGACCCACGGCTTTTTACCTCATCAGATTGTAATCCTACCCAACACACCTCAGGAACCACCCTATTATCTCATTTACCAAAAAAGGGAAGAAAAAATGTCCCTTAGAAACCCTTTGAACAACATAATACCAGAAGTCATCAAAATCACACATAAGGCTACCGCTAAGGCACTTGCGTGTGTCTCTGGAGAAGCCCTGCGTGTGTACAATCCTTTCCTTAAACCCCCACTCCACCCCACCCCACCCCCATTGGTTGCTTCTTTTGTTGTTTTCTTTTTTCCCTTTTGAGGGGGGACAGGATCTTACTAAATAAGCCACATAGGCCTAGAACTCACAGAAATGCCCCTGCCCCTGCCTGTCCCTTGCCTCTGCCTCTGTCCAGATTAAAGGCCTGCATAACCAAACTCACCTAAAAATCCAAAGCTTAAAAAAAATGAATTTCAGGGCTGGAGAGATGGTTCATCGGCTTAAGAGCACTGACTGCTCTTGCAGAGGACCTGGGTTCAATTCCCAGTACCCACATGGCAGCTACAAACTGTCCTTAGTGCCAGCGCCAGGGGAATACGAAGCCCTCTTCTGACCTCTGCGGCACTGCACAACACGGGTGCACTCACGTACATGCAGGCAATACACTCATACACATAAAATAAAAACAAAATATTTTAAAAAATGAATTTCAGATTTAAGCATATTGGATTTCAGATTTTGAGACAAAGGATGCTATAAACACTTATGTAAATAATGTAAAAGTCTGAAAAACTCTAAAATCTCTAACATTTCTAGTCCCATGCATTTCAGGTAAGGGTTAGTCAATTGTAGAAGGAAACAGAGACAAACATTTAGAGAAACAAACAGCCTGAATATAAAATACGTAAAATACTTGTAGCCAAGTTACCTACTACTTGACAAAGGAAGATACCTACGATGTATTGTTCAGAATCAAATTACTAAGTAGGGTAAAACTCCTGTTTATGAGGCTGGAGAGATGGCTCAGCAGTTAAGAGCACTGGTGGCTCTTGCAGAGTACCCGGGTTCAATTCCCAGCACCAACATGGCACTGGCAACCGTCCATAACTCCAGTTCCAGGGGGAATTGACGTCCTCTTCTGACCTCCAAGGCACTGCACAACATGGGTGCACTTACATACATGCAGGCAATACACTCATATACATAAAAAAAAATCTTATTTATATGTTACGTACTCATAGGAATGAAAGACATCTGGAAGGACTCAGTGATAAAATTCTGCACCATTTTCACTTTATCATTTTCTGTGTATTTTATTTAAAATATTTTATTTATTTATTTATTTATTTATTTATTTATTTATTTACTGTCTTTTTATTTTTTAAAATTTTTATTTTATGTGTATGCATGTATTGCCTGCATGTAGTTAAATGCACCCGTGTCGTACAATGCCCATGGAGGTCAGAAGAAGCTGTTGGATCCCCTGGGACTGGAGTTACGGACAGTTAGCTGCCATATGGGTGCTGGGATTTGAACCCGGGTCTTCTGCAAGAACAACCAGTGTTCTTAATCACTGACCCATCTCTCCAGCCCCCTATTTAAAATATTTTATTTATTATTTTTATTTTACGTGTATGAATGCATTGCCTGCATGTATGTAAGTGCACCCATGTTGTCCAATGCCCTCCAAGGGCAAAAGAGGATGTCATCAAATGCTCTGGAATTGGAATTACTGACGGTTATTAACTGCCATGTGGGTGCTGGGAACTGAACTCAGGTCCTCTATAGCAGCCTGTGCTCTTAACCGCTGACCATCTCTCCAGCCCCCTTTTCTGTGTATTTTGACTTAACCAAACAATGTATATAATATCACAAAAGTTTTCCCCTTCATTTATTTTATTTTATTTTTTAAATTTTATCTTGAGTCTCATATACCCATGCTGGTGTCAAATACACTATATAGCCACCTGATATGGATTCTGGGTGCCAAAACTCAGGTCCTCAACAAGAGCTGTAAGTGCTTTTAACTACTGAGCCATTTCTCAAGTCCATAGCCTTCAGTTTTCACATCACATTAGAGCTTGCACAATATAAATGTCATAAATAGCCAATTGAGAGTCCGTAGATATGTCTCATTATACTAACTGAACAGCCTGCTTTACATTCCTGGTAAGGCCCAGCTGCTGACAAAGAAAAAGCAAAAGAATGCCTCTTTATGAAAAGAAGTCTGAGGATGCCAAAGACAACCTGTCTCAGAAAGTTCCACCCCTATTTGTTAACCAAACAAGGCTCAAATTTCAAATCCCTATTAAAATCGAAACTATATAAATGTCATTGAAAGAATAAGCATCTTGTTGCAATAATGACATCAGTGAGAACTGCATTTACAAAGCTACCATTCTTAATCAAAAGCCTTGACCTTACCAAGTGCCATCACACCCTTCATGCACTATACAAACTAATAAACTCCCTAATTCTCTCCACTCCTAAGATTTATAGATCAGTTCAGACCTAGGTTATGTGCCCTACTCCGTACTCAGTTTTTGTTCATTATATCTGAGAGTAATATTTAGTTATAATAATTATGTATATGAATTCTTTTTGTCATGGTACAGATTAAACTGAAGGCCTCACTGAATTACACTCCCAACTTTGTATAAGTTTGAGGGCTTTGCCATTCATTTAACTTGCAGCTCCATAAATGGAAACACAAATGTACTGATCACAGCTGTAACCCAAGAAGGCAACAGGACACTTTAATAATCCACTGGTAGGCTAGATTGGCTGAATAACAGAACAGTGTCTAAAACATAGTAGATTCTCAATAGATGTTCACTGCATTTTTAATTAAAAATGGCAGCCCTGTTCTAGAAGACTGAATTTGTTTTCTAGTCCACTGATTAATCTCAAAAACATTAAAGCCTCACCATTTCTGTGTGTCTCTAGGAACTCCTTTGTGGAATTTCTCTGGTCTTCATCTTGCTCAGGACACTCACCAGACTTTGACAGCCGCTTTCTTAGAAACATCTTCTCTTCTCCTACCATTGAGCTGCCTGGGAAAGAAGAACAAGAGCTAGGAATAGATTCTCAATGTTCACAACTGAAGGAGTAATCATGACATGGATGAGCTATTCGTCCTAATTTCATCAGTATATATGGAAATAATACTGTACATAATAAATGTGTAAAATTATCTGTCAATTAAAAATTTTAAATAAGGACTTGATGGCATGCACATGCCTTTGATACCCAGGAGGAAGAGGCAAACTCATCTCAGTGAGTTCTAGGCCAGCAAGCCAGGCATGGTGGTATGCGCCTTTAATTACAGCACTTGGAAGGAAGAGGCAGGTGGATCTCTGTGAGTTTCCTGATCTACATAGAAAGTTCCAGGTCAGTCAGGGCTACGGGGAGAACCTACCTCAAAAAACAACAACAAAACAAAGATATTTAAATGAAGTGGGGAATGTAACTCAAGGGTACAGTGCTTGCTCAGCATATCTGAAGTCCTGGGTTTGACTCACTGTATTGCAAAAAAAGTTTTCCTTAATTTAAAAATTAAAAGCTTTTAACTACCTCACCTCCCTCTGCTTCCCTGGGCCTAAACTACCTGCAGGCCTCTCTCCAACCCGAAGTCCTCTCTCTCCCGGGTACGATTGGGCCCTCCACGACTTGACTCCCCCAGCTTCACTCATCCTCCCATTTCCCCACCATCTCTCCTACTAGGTCCTGTCCTATTCCTTGTCTTGGCACCCCAGACACCTGGGGAACCACCACTACTTCCTAATCCTTTGCATCCAGAGCAACTCAGTTCCTTCCCAGGTCCCCAGGAGCACTGATTCTGGGCCTGGCCCTGCCCTCACCTCCCTCTGCTTTCCTGGGCCTGCACTACCCACAGGCCTCTCTCCTACCCTCAGGCCTCTCTCCTCGGGGTAGGTCAGTGGGACCCTCCACGCCTTGACTCCCAGTTTTAAAGGACCACAGATGACAACCCAGATTACTATACGCAGCCAAAATGTCTATTATAGTCGAAGGGGAAAGAAATATCTTCTATGACATAAATAGGCTGCAGGAATTCATGTCCATAAAACCAGCCCTTCAGAGAGCTCTGGAAGCAATACAAAGCTGAAGAAAGGAATGACTATACCCAAGGGGTTACAAAAAGAAATTCAATGAAGGTATAACTGTGGAAAAGTATAGTTGTATCAGTGTAAACAGAAATAAAAACGACAGGATTCAATACTCATCTTTCATAACTTTAAATGTTAACAGACTGAACTCCCCAGTCAAAAGATAGATTAGGTGAATGGGTTAAGAAACAAAACCCATCTTTCTCTTGTCTGCAAGAAACCCATCTTACTTTCAAGGACACTCACTACCTTAAAAGTGAAAGGATGGAAAAAACTATATCAAGCAAATGATACTAAGAAAAGAGTGGGTGTAGCAATTCTAATATCTGACAAAATAGACTTTAAACTAAAACAAATCAGAAGAGATAAAGAGGGCCACTTCACTTTGATCAAAGGAACAATGGATCAAGAAGATATTATAATCATGAACATATATTCACCAAACTCTGGTGCACCCAACTTCATAAAAACAATACTACACAACTTTTAAGACCCAGATTAATCCAAGCTCATTAATAGTAGCGGACTTTAATACCCCACTGTCTCCATTAGATAGGTCAACAGGGCAGAGAGTTAACAGAGAGACATCTGAATTAAACAATACCATATATCAAATGGACTTAACAGACATCTACCGAGGGCACAAAACAAAGCTCAGCAAATACAAAAAGATTGAAATAATTCCATGTGTTCTATCAGACCACAATGCAATAAAGCTTAGAATTAACACCCAAAGAAGCCCTAATCACCACATGAACACATGGAGATTAAACAACACACTCCTGAATGATGAATGGGTCAAAAGAGAAATTAAGAAAGAAATAAAAGTATTCCTGGAACTAAATGGAAAGGACAAAACAACACAACAAAATCTCTAGGACACGATGAAAGAGGTCCTTAGAGGGAAGTTTATAGCTCTAAATGCATACATCAAAAACTCGGAAAGAACACAAATAAATGACTTAACGCTGCAACTCAACATACTTGAAAAGCAACAGCAAATGAAACCCAAACCCAGCAGGCAAGAAGAAATAACAAAAATCAGGGCAGAAATTAATGAAATTGAAACAAAGAAAACAATACAGAGAATCAACGAATCCAAGAGCTGGTTCTTTGAAAAGATAAACAAGATTGACAGACCGCTAGCTCAATTAACTAAAAGAAAGAGCAAATCCAAATCAACAAAATCAGAGATGAAAGGGGAAACATCACAAC